ACCATATACCTCTGCCGTCGTCATATGGTTTCTGCTAATGATAAAGACCATACCAGAGACCATATACCTCTGCCGTCGTTATATGGTCTCTGCTAATGACAGACCATACCAGAGACCATATACCTCTGCCGTCGTTATATGGTCTCTGCTAATTACAGACCATACCAGAGACCATATACCTCTGCCGTCGTCATATGGTCTCTGCTAATGACAGAGACCATACCAGAGACCATATACCTCTGCCGTCGTTATATGGTCTCTGCTAATGACAGACCATACCAGAGACCATATACCTCTGCCGTCGTCATATGGTCTCTGCTAATGACAGAGACCATACCAGAGACCATATACCTCTGCCGTCGTAATATGGTTTCTGCTAACGATAGAGGCCATACCAGAGACCATATACCTCTGCCGTCGTTATATGGTCTCTGCTAATAACAGAGACCATACCAGAGACCATATACCTCTGCCGTCGTGATATTGTTTCTGCTAATGAGAGAGACCATACCAGAGACCATATACCTCTGCCGTCGTTATATGGTCTCTGCTAATGATAGAGACCATACCAGAGACCATATACCTCTGCCATCGTTATATGGTTTCTGCTAATGACAGAGACCATACCAGAGACCATATACCTCTGCCGTCGTTATATGGTCTCTGCTCGTGACCACAACAATTCAATAAGAATAATTTCAAGGTGTCAAGGTTTGGTGATATGAAAATATGACATGGTCGTGGAAGACGTTAAAACACGACAAAACGAGAACACAGTCAGGTACGACTAAGAGTTATCAAGGATTGTTCCACTCTCCACAGTGGACATCACTATCTGTTTGCTCATTTCCCGAACCCAAGAGAACAAATATTACACATTGAATTTTGTACAAATTGCACTCTGTTAATTGATAAAATTAAGTATCAATCTTGCAAAAAAATGTCAAAATTACTAATGGCCCCTCTCCATAATGGAATATGGCTAATAATATTTGTTCTCTCACTCAGACTGCAATGTTTCCTTTGTTTTACAAGTTTACAACTCTGTAACTGTGCACTTCAGATAAAGTGTATGTTGCGCTGAGCCATATTTTATGTACGACTCTTTTAGCTCGAATGCAGTATCTGTGGTCTAAGGGAAGTAACTCTGACTCGCCATGCACTCATGATATTTTGAGGATTCCTGTTCAAGTAAAGTGTTAGTTGTAAAGACTAACATTTAGTTCCAGAAATAAATCTTAGTTTACTATATATGTTTCTTCTAAATATATCAAATCCAAATTGAGCTCAGAACAAGAATTAATTTCAAGCAATCTAGACTTGGCAAATCTTTGTAAACTTGAGTTGGATTCCATTCTTAATTTATTCTCTAGGGTTTGGGAGGCAGATTACAGGCCATACACCGATGTTTATTATTTAACCAAACCATTCATCGTAGGACAATCCGCAGTTGGGAAGATGGGAGGACTATATTCTCAACCGACTTGGGGCAAATATATCATCGTGAAGTTATTTCGTATAACAGATGGTTTTCCAAAGAGGGCCATTGTGACAATGATATGCCTCAGGCTGTTAACTACTCTCTATTAAAGTTCCCTACCCACGGACGTGCAAGAGGTTTAATAAGAGCAAACCAGTCTTCCTTGTCCGTATATATAACAAGCATCACTACTGCACCCTCAGGTCTGGCAGTGGGTTGGACAAAGTAATGACCAGAGTTTATGCACCTTTCGACGTGCCTTGGTTAAATTCCGCAGTTGACAGTGCTTCTCAGAGCGTGCTGACGCACACAATCAGTCTGCTACTCAGTTGCCGTGGATCATGTATTTTGAAACATTCGGAAATATGTCTTGACAATTTCAAAATTTAATGATAAACAGAATATTCTTCTCAATGAGGCAGTTTAATAAAGAAAATACACTCTTTCCATAAAATTAACAAATCTAATCTCTGTTCCGTTCTATATGTCTTCTTCACTTAGTTACAGTCGGTGAAAACCTACCCATAGGATAGCGTTCCATCATACATTTAATTTCAAAGTTCACTAATATTGCACTGTTTCAGAGCATATGGCTTAATGACAACTCCAAATTAATTGATTGTTCCTCGGATTCATTTCCAAAGTCTTGCCTCATCTGGATAGTCATGATGAGTTTTGGGGTTGTTGTTTTTAACTTACTTAGGTTTCTATTTTTATTTCTCGGGTTTGATTATCTTTAAGTATGTTCTTGAATAATTGGAGTCTTAATTAAATGTTAACACATAATGCGTAGACTTTCTCAATAATCTGTTGAGTTAACGTCTATTTGCGTTGAATGCAGGGTACGTATACTCTGCAAATCAAGTAACGCAAAAGTTATTTTTTTTTATAATTTTATATATCATATAAAAAATCAACAGATGGTAATCGATTGTTATAAATTGGCCAACATCATTGTCCTTGACCTAGATTCCATACGGCACACATGGAACAGTAGATTTTCAAGGTGGGTCATCTGTTCTCAATACCTTGTGTGGCCACCATTAGAGTCCAATACTGAGTGGCATCGTCGTCCCATGGAAAAATTCAGATCCCGAATTGTGGCCTTCGTATGGAATGTTCACCCACTCTGCCTGCAGTGTTTGTGCCAACTGTCGGAGGTTATGTGGTTTTTGCAGGACCAGGATGTTGTGATTCCTCAAAAAGATCGGACGTTGTCTGGTTGGAAAATGACGTTCACTTGCATAATGGGAAGGACGTGTGGCTGAAGAATCTCATCCGTGTAACGTTGTGCCGTTAAAGTCCCTAGAACTTGCACCAAGTCTGTTCACTAGTGTAGATGGCTGTTCAAATAATAACACTACAACCACCGAATCTGGCCACTTCCTGTATGCAGTTTCGTGCATAACGATCCCCGCGACGCCTGTAAACACGGCGTCTACCATTCGCGCGGCGAAGCAGTTGTGGCCATACTTTATTATGTTGACACCATTTACTTCGCAGCCAACGATGCAGGTCCGTCAAAATGCGCGTAAACAGTTCCTCGCAGCCTGGGCTGACATCCTACGCAATCCTGGTATTGCCGTAGTTGTAGTGGTGACCGTGGTGACCGTGGTGGTTCTTTCACGCAAGTGACGTAGTCGTATGAACTGTCCTGTGACTAGCAGTGATACGTGATCGACCGGATCTGGGAAGGTCACGTGTTGTCCCGAGTGTCTGATAACGGTTCCACAGTCTTCCAAAGACGCTTGATGCTACGTTGAAATACCTGGCTACAGCTGAAAATGATTCTCCTCTTTGCAGTCGGCCGATGGCGTTGTTGCATTGGGCTTCCGTCATATTTTTGCTGTTCTCTTGCAGTAAGATTGTGCTGACATACAAGTGAAAACCCAACGTTTGATGGTTGTGTTTTTGCGATTTTTCCATCTTTCCATCAAATATCTGCAGTACCGTATTCTTTCCACAGAAATCAATCCAAATCCATGCAGAAATGACCAGTTCATTTTTAGTATCAATTTTGTATGAATGTCGGAACACACTGTGTCAGATATTTACGATTTTACTACCTTTGCGTTTCCTTTTTTGCAGAGTGTATATCAACATGGAGGCAGATCATAGGTTAAACATTTCTTTTTGTCCTATCAGATGTATTATAATAAATTGTTTCTTGTGAACGGATTGTATTCGTTCCTTTTCTCGATAACTTGTCTGGCTTCACTAGAAAAATGATGTTTATACGGCCTGGGATGCCTAATTAATTTACAAACGAAATATGATTTGAAGTGTATGACGACATTAAAAACAATCCTTCTTTATGTACCGAACATGCTTTTGTAAACAGAAGATTAGCACAGATTTCAAAGACCACCATTCGTTAAGAATTTTTTATTAGATCAACAATTTCAACAACAAAAAAATATTTTAAAAATACTTAGATGAAGTGTTCACATCGATTTATATCTTTAATAGAAAAGAACAAGCAGGTAAATGGTAAACATTTGACCAATGGTAAACACTGATCTCAGAGAGAATCTGTACATGGCAGGTGACAAAAGGCAGGTCAACTTGTTCACACTGATAATGACATGTATTCTTTATTTACAAATATATTTATATGTGAACTATTGCACTTAGATAAGAAATATTCACCTTTCAATGTTAGTCAATTGGCCTGGATGTCTTTATTAAATTTAGAAACAATGTCAAGGCATAAATGTATGGAACTTCATCACAGGGCCAAACAAAGAGAATATGTAATTAAAACATATACGTAACGACAGTGCGGAGATGCCCCACTGGGTCTAGCTACATACAGCTATAAGGACCACCGTTAGTATTGCACGCGGAATTCCAGGACCAAATACATCAAGATTGTATCTATAAAGATTGCAAATTGGTTATTAGCTATACCACGCTGTTAATATTGTATTTGACGTACAGAACCAATCCTGGGTGTTTCATAAAGACAGTATTATAATATGTAGGTACATTCTACTGGCTACATTTCCAGACAACTAGTGTTACCGTTTGTACCAGCATAGTGACATGACAACCGAGGGAAGAATAGGTCTTCACCAACCCATGCTTGCTGTAAAAGGCGACTATGCTTGTCATAAGACGGGAGTAACGAGATCGGGTGGTCAGGCTCGCTGACTTGATTGATGGATGTCATCGTATCCAAATTGCGTGGATCGATGCTCATGATGTCAATCACTGGATTGTCTGGTCCAGACCCGATTATTTACAAACCTCCGTCATATAGCTGGAATATTGTTGAGTGTGGCGGTAAACAACAAACAAAAAACCCCATAAAAACCCATGCCAAACAGAAAAAAACACTACACTTCCCTATGAGGGCTGTGTCAATGTTGTTAATAGGACAGTCAACATTGTCCACCGCTTCCAATACATGCATAGCATCATGTGTAGTTTATTCAAGCCTGTGTTCACAACGGTCTCTGTCGGTGACCACAAGTGGTGACGTGAGTAGATAACGTTGATGCAGTTTTTTAATCAGTTACTGGAGTGTGGTGGTGCCAGTATCAATACATAATTGTTGCTGGGAGGTGGAACGGTGCCAGCGCAGGCCAAACACTGCGGTGTAATAGTGTAAATGACTGCGTATGGAATTATTGGCTTATCATATTAAGATGGATTAATGGTAATGCCTGTGACAACGATAAAAAAGACTGAACATTAATTCGACTGTTAAAAACCAACATGTTGCATGATCGTGTGACGCAGTACTTGCACGAAAGTTCCTACAAAAACTGAGGGGTGAAAGAAGTACATCGAGTTTGTTCTTTATGTCTTTGAAAATCGAAAGAACTTTTGTTAAATTTGTTCATTTGTTTAATCAACAATTCCTGCAGCATTATGTAAAACGTAATCTGTGGCTGGGTAATTTTGTGAACAAATATATTGGTTCAATGAAGACTGGAGCCAGAAATGCATTTGCAGCCACTTGATCCCTACCATGTTACAAAAGTTGTAAATTTGTGCCGAAAAAGTTTTATATTTTCAAAGACAAGACGTGTAAGATACCCATCAGCAGTATATATTTTACAAAATAAAACCATGTAGAAATCTTCACTGAGTGCTAACTAAACGCCAGTAAAATACATTTTTGTGGGATAACATCGCTAACTTAACAGAATTGTTTTGCTCCTCGGTTTTAATAAATTCGTACATGTTAGTCCAACTCTGTACTTGCAATAAATATGCATTATTAAGTATTTCGGTGTATATATATGGAAGCAGTGGCGCCCAATCATCATTATAGAGAGCATATATTGCGTTAAGAGAATACTGATATTAAATCCAGGAGCAGCATGTCATGGTAAGAGCTATGTATTGTTACCCGACTAAACCGCTAACGTGGAGCTACAACCCTGATATATTTCACCTTAGGGTTGTACCATTGGAATTTCGGGGGTGGGGGATGAGAATGTGTGTCAGGCAATTTCTTTTTCTTTTCAACAGTCTGACGCATGCCCCCTCCCCGAATATCACATGGTCGGTCCCTGAGCAATATGGGATTGTGGGGCGAGGACTGAACATATTTAAACGAGGGTGAGTAAAGTATTGTAGGGTGGGCTATGAAACCTCCAATCTACTAAAATTATGGGAAACATAAACACTACATTAATCCGTGGATATTCAAACCTCTACAAATATAAAGAGTCCAATTGAGGCCACACTGACATATCTCTCTACCGCCATGATCAGCTGTCTTCACATAGAGAGGGGAAAGTGTGTCCAAGGGGGCCTCATGGTAATTTACAGATAGTGTTCACCATGTGTTCACATAGAGAGGGGGAAGTGTGTCCCAGGGGGCCTAATGGTAATTTACTGATAGTGTTCACCATGTGTTCACATAGAGAGGGGGAAGTGTGTCCAAGGGGGTCTCCTGGTAATTACTGCCAGTGTTCACCATGTGTTCACATAGAGAAGGGGAAGTGTGTCCCAGGTGGCCTCATGGTAATTACTGCGAGTGTTCACCATGTCTTCACATAGAGAGGGGGAAGTGTGTCCCAGGGGGTCTCCTGGTAATTACTGCCAGTGTTCACCATGTGTTCACATAGAGAGGGGGAAGTGTGTCCCAGGTGGCCTCATGGTAATTACTGCCAGTGTTCACCATGTCTTCACATAGAGAGGGGGAAGTGTGTCCCAGGAGGCCTCATGGTAATTACTGCCAGTGTTCACCATGTCTTCACATAGAGAGGGGGAAGTGTGTCCCAGGGGGTCTCCTGGTAATTTACTGATAGTGTTCACCATGTGTTCACATAGAGAAGGGGAAGTGTGTCCCAGGTGGCCTCATGGTAATTACTGCCAGTGTTCACCATGTCTTCACATAGAGAGGGGGAAGTGTGTCCCAGGAGGCCTCATGGTAATTACTGCCAGTGTTCACCATGTCTTCACATAGAGAAGGGGAAGTGTGTGCAAGGGGGCCTCATGGTAATTACTGCCAGTGTTCACCATGTCTTCACATAGAGAGGGGGAAGTGTGTCCCAGGAGGCCTCATGGTAATTACTGCCAGTGTTCACCATGTCTCCACATAGAGAAGGGGAAGTGTGTGCAAGGGGGCCTCATGGTAATTACTGCCAGTGTTCACCATGTCTTCACATAGAGAGGGGGAAGTGTGTCCCAGGGGGTCTCCTGGTAATTTACTGATAGTGTTCACCATGTCTTCACATAGAGAAGGGGAAGTGTGTCCAAGGGGGCCTCATGGTAATTTACTGATAATGTTCACCATGTGTTCACATAGAGAGGGGGAAGTGTGTCCCAGGGGGTCTCCTGGTAATTTACTGATAGTGTTCACCATGTCTTCACATAGAGAAGGGGAAGTGTGTCCCAGGGGGTCTCCTGGTAATTTACTGATAGTGTTCACCATGTCTTCACATAGAGAAGGGGAAGTGTGTCCCAGGGGGTCTCCTGGTAATTTACTGATAGTGTTCACCATGTCTTCACATAGAGAAGGGGAAGTGTGTCCAAGGGGGCCTCATGGTAATTTACTGATAGTGTTCACCATGTGTTCACATAGAGAGGGGGAAGTGTGTCCCAGGGGGTCTCCTGGTAATTTACTGATAGTGTTCACCATGTCTTCACATAGAGAAGGGGAAGTGTGTCCCAGGGGGTCTCCTGGTAATTTACTGATAGTGTTCACCATGTCTTCACATAGAGAAGGGGAAGTGTGTCCAAGGGGGTCTCCTGGTAATTTACTGATAGTGTTCACCATGTCTTCACATAGAGAAGGGGGAGTGTGTCCAAGGGGGTCTCCTGGTAATTTACTGATAGTGTTCACCATGTCTTCACATAGAGAAGGGGGAGTGTGTCCAAGGGGGTCTCCTGGTAATTTACTGATAGTGTTCACCATGTCTTCACATAGAGAAGGGGAACTGTGTCCAAGGGGGCCTCATGGTAATTACTGCCAGTGTTCACCATGTCTTCACATAGAGAAGGGGAAGTGTGTCCAAGTGGGCCTCATGGTAATTACTGCCAGTGTTCACCATGTCTTCACATAGAGAGGGGGAAGTGTGTCCCAGGGGGTCTCCTGGTAATTTACTGATAGTGGTCACCATGTCTTCACATAGAGAGGGGGAAGTGTGTCCAAGGGGGCCACATGGTAATTACTGCCAGTGTTCACCATGTCTTCACATGAATGGCTGACGCTGGAAGGTTCCTCCAACCTGTACATCCGACCTGGTTTATCTTCTGCAGCATGGCAAACCCTGCTTTATACTCATCTCGGTTTCATATGTTCCACTTATGACGTTTAAATTATATTTGTCGTTAGATCCTTGCTTATTGTTCCTTAGTGCTTGGGTTTACCATCCAGGGACCTTGTTCAGTGCCTCTCATCTCCACGAACGTCATGTTACCTGCCCTAGTACTTCATGAGATTTACACTCGGACCCAAGATATACCCAGGCGCTGAATCTGCGATGAGGGTGTTGCGCTCTTACTTCCGAGTCGTGTGAAATCTTTCATCTCTACCCGCATTGAGATTACTTGCCTCTTATCCAGTTGGAGTTGATTGCTATTCCTGCGTATTGCGAGTAAATGTTTATCCAGTTGAAGTTGATTGCTATTCCTGCGTATTGCGAGTGAATGTTTATCCAGTTGAAGTTGATTGCTATTCCTGCGTATTGCGTGTGAATGTTTATCCAGTTGAAGTTGATTGCTATTCCTGCGTATTGCGTGTGAATGTTTATCCAGTTGAAGTTGATTGCTATTCCTGCGTTATTGCGTGTGAATGTTTATCCAGTTGAAGTTGATTGCTATTCCTGCGTATTGTGTGTGAATGTTTACGCACGGGATGCTGCCACCTTGGTACTGCTACTCGAACATTTTCTGATCAATGAAGATGTATCGCACCATGTTGTGAGCCAGCAGCATTGAGAACAACTGCAACGAATGAAGAGTGATAATAAATTCATCGTCATGCTGAGTGTAGGCCTTCAATTTTACAGACAATGCAGAAAATAACAGTAAGACATTAATTTTTTCAGATCAGCCATGGCAGACGCGATAAGAAGGACACAACATATTAATACAGTATTCTACTTTACCTCTAAGAAGCCCACACATAACGCTATGAGGCCAATGATGATGAGGTTATCCTTGAATGCAAACATGAGTGACCCTATGCAGCCTTGTGTGAAGACGAGCTGATCCGCGTACGTGTCCTGTAAATGAACAGAAGTCACAGTGAGGTCATGCCTCATCTTACCAACGATCATGTTGATGCTAAAATGATTGAAATACTCAGACATTGGAGATAAAAAATATCGTATTTGTCATACAAATCATGTTTAAAAGCGTAGAGTAATATATATTTACAGCTGTATAGGTCAATGAGAAACAAGTTATGCATTTAGCAAGTGTCTGAGGTGAACGTCTTCCTACTGTTACGAACATCACTAACACCTTATATGCCTTGAGCTGTAATGTCCACACACTGTCGATAACTTGGTCGGCCTACTTGACTGCCACCGTGTGTAAAACTGTACTATATACTGACCAGGTACTTGCGGACACCGAAGCCACACTGGGCGGATGTGGGCACCCTGCAGCAGGACCTTGGCACACCACAGCGAGACATGGCCGCCGAAGAACAGTTATAGTAGACGTTCACCTCCCAGTCGGAGTAGCTTGCGGCACCGCAGCAGTAGAACTGCACGTACATATGTACAGGTCAGAGACAGGACACCTAGGTGCCATGATTGTTCAAGTTGGTTTTGAGCTGATCGCTACATAAGATAATATCATGAACCTGTTATGTTAACACTATTATTAAAACAGGGCCCTTTCTGCTGACATGGTTAGTGTACTGAATATAACATATCTTCAAGTCATTGTCTAAAACCCCCAGAGAAACAATAACACACATTTGTTTGGGACTGTGATCAACACAAGATTTCTTTTCCAAATACCAAGTAAATAGTTCAGACGAAGAATGCAGCTGAGATAACTTCACTGTGAAAAATGAATCACCAGTAAGAGGATCGATAGCATGTCAACACGTGTGTGTGTGTGTGTGGTGGTGGGGGGGGGTTTACCTGTTTCTGTAAAAAGTCGATGGCGTCCCTGATGTCGTCGTTGTCGCCGTAGTGGGTGATGGCGTGCTGCATGTAGTCCATCATGGCTTTTTCAACTGTGTCCATCAGGACGAAGGCGAGGATGCCGGCCACCATCTGGACCACGAATACCACCACGATGGTCAAGATGTACTGTGGGACAGCATAACAGATGTATTAGTGTATGTGTACTGTGTGACAACGTTACAGATGTATTAGTGTATGTGTACTGTGTGACAACGTTACAGATGTATAAGTGTATGTGTACTGTGTGACAACGTTACAGATGTATTAGTGTATGTGTACTGTGTGACAACGTTACATATGTATTAGTGTATCTGTACTGTGTGACAACGTTACAGATGTATTAGTGTATGTGTACTGTGTGACAACGTTACATATGTATTAGTGTATCTGTACTGTGTGACAACGTTACAGATGTATTAGTGTATGTGTACTGTGTGACAACGTTACAGATGTATTAGTGTATGTGTACTGTGTGACAACGTTACAGATGTATTAGTGTATGTGTACTGTGTGACAACGTCACAGATGTATTAGTGTATGTGTACTGTGTGACAACGTTACAGATGTATTAGTGTATGTGTACTGTGTGACAACGTTACAGATGTATTAGTGTATGTGTACTGTGTGACAACGTTACAGATGTATTAGTGTATGTGTACTGTGTGACAACGTTACAGATGTATAAGTGTATGTGTACTGTGTGACAACGTTACAGATGTATAAGTGTATGTGTACTGTGTGACAACGTTACAGATGTATAAGTGTATGTGTACTGTGTGACAACGTTACAGTTGTACCTGTCGATGTGTGCTGTGGGACAACGTAACATGTACTAGTCGATGTGCACTGTGGGACAACGTTACAGTTGTACTTGTCGATGCGTACTATACTTGTCGATGTGTACTGTGGAACAACATTACAGATGTACTAGTCAATATGTACTGTGGGACAACGTAACATGTACTAGTCGATGTGTGCTGTGGGACAACGTAACATGTACTAGTCGATGTGCACTGTGGGACAACGTAACTTGTACTATTCGATGTGTGCTGTGGGACAACGTTACAGTTGTACTTGTCGATGCGAACTATACTTGTCAGTGTGTCCTGTGGGACAACGTAACATGTACTAGTCGATGTGTACTGTGGGACAACGTAACATGTACTAGTCGATGTGTGCTGTGGGACAACGTTACAGTTGTACTTGTCGATGCGAACTATACTTGTCAATGTGCACTTTGGGACAACGTAACATGTACTAGTCGATGTGTACTGTGGGACAACGTTACATGTACTAGTCGATGCGTACTATGCTTGTCGATGTGTACTGTGGGACAACGTAACATGTACTAGTTGATGTGTGCTGTGGGACAACGTTACAGTTGTACTTGTCGATGCGAACTATACTTGTCAATGTGCACTTTGGGACAACGTTACATGTACTAGTCGATGTGTACTGTGGGACAACGTTACATGTACTAGTCGATGCGTACTATACTTGTCGATGTGTACTGTGGGACAACGTAACATGTACTAGTCGATGTGTACTGTGGGACAACGTTACAGTTGTACTTGTCGATGCGTACTATACTTGTCGATGTGTACTGTGGGACAACGTTACATGTACCAGTCGATGCGTACTATACTTGTCGAAGTGTACTGTGGGACAACGTAACATGTACTAGTCGATGTGTACTGTGGGACAACGTAACATGTACTAGTCGATGCGTACTATACTTGTCGATGTGTACTGTGGGACAACGTAACATGTACTAGTCGATGTGTGCTGTGGGACAACGTTACAGTTGTACTTGTCGATGCGAACTATACTTGTCAATGTGCACTATGGGACAACGTAACATGTACTAGTCGATGTGTACTGTGGGACAACGTAACATGTACTAGTCGATGCGTACTATACTTGTCGATGTGTACTGTGGGACAACGTAACATGTACTAGTCGATGTGTACTGTGGAACAACATTACAGATGTTCTAGTCGATGTGTACTGTGGGACAACGTAACATTCCGACTGTCACTTTCATAATCTGGTAAGCGACGCACTGATTGGTCGGATGAAAGGTCGTTCTGACGTGACCCCCAATGGGATGTCTTGAGATCTTTGTTTTGCGGTAGCGAGAACTAAGGTCTGATTTTAATAAGATTGCTGGTGGATGTACGAGGCGATGTGTACTGTGGGACAAGGTAGTGGATGTAACAGTCGATGTGTACTGTGGGACAACGTAGTGGATGTAATAGTCGATGTGTACTGTGGGACAACGTAGAGGATGTAACAGTCGATGTGTACTTATGGACAACGTAACAGATGTACTTGTCGATGTGTACTTATGGACAACGTAACATGTACTAGTCGATGTGTACTGTGGGACAACGAAACAGATGTATTAATCGATGTGTACTGTGGGACAACGTAGAGGATGTAACAGTCAATGTGTAGTGTGGGACAATGTAACAGATGTACTTGTCAATGTGAACTGTGGGACAACGTAACAGATGTACTTGTCGATGTGTACTGTGGGACAATGTAACAGACGTACTTGTCGATGTGTACTGAACTTGTCAATGTGTACTTATGGACAACGTAACATGTACTAGTCGATGTGTACTGTGGGACAACGAAACAGATGTACTAATCAATGTGTACTGTGGGACAACGTAGGGGATATAATAGTCGATGTGAACTGTGGGACAACGTAGAGGATGTAGCAGTCGATGTGTACTGTGGGACAACGTAACAGACGTACTTGTCGATGTGTACTGAACTTGTCAATGTGTACTTATGGACAACGTAACATGTACTAGTCGATGTGTACTATGGGACAACGAAACAGATGTACTAATCGATGTGTACTGTGGGACAACGTAACAGATGTACTAGTCGATGTGTACTGTGGGACAACATAACATGTACTTGTCGATATTTACTGTGGGACAACGTAGCGGATGTACTTGTCGATGTGTACTGTGGGACAACATAACATGTACTTGTCGATGTGTACTGTGGGCCAACGTAACAGATGTACTTGTCGATGTGTACTGTACTTGTCGATGTGTACTGTGGGAAAACATAACATGTACTAGTCGATGTGTACTGTGAGACAACATAACAGATGTACTTGTGGATGTGAAATGTGGGCCAACGTAACATATGTACTTGTCGATGTGTACTGTACTTGTCGATGTGTATTGTGGAACAACGTAACATGTACTAGTCGATGTGTACTGTGGGACAACGCAACATGTACTAGTCGATGTGTACTATGGGACAAAGTAACAGATGTACTTGTCGATGTGTACTGTGGGACAACATAACATGTACTTGTCGATGTGTACTGTGGGACAACGTATCGGATGTACTAGCCGATGTGTACTGTGGGACAATGTAGCGGATGTACTTGTCGATGTGTACTGTGGGACAACATAACATGTACTTGTCGATGTGTACTGTGGGACAACGTATCGGATGTACTAGTCGATGTGTACTGTGGGACAACGTAGCGGATGTACTTGTCGATGTGTACTGTGGGACAACGTAACATGTACTAGTCGATGTGTACTGTGGGACAACGTAGCGGATGTACTTGTCGATGTGTACTGTGAGACAACATAACATGTACTTGTCGATGTGTACTTATGGACAACGTAACATCTACTAGTCGATGTGTACTGTGGGACAACATAACATGTACTTGTCGATGTGTACTGTGGGCCAACGTAACAGATGTACTTGTCGATGTGTACTGTACTTGTCGATGTGTACTGTGGGAAAACATAACATGTACTAGTCGATGTGTACTGTGAGACAACATAACAGATGTACTTGTGGATGTGAAATGTGGGCCAACGTAACATATGTACTTGTCGATGTGTTCTGTACTTGTCGATGTGTATTGTGGAACAACGTAACATGTACTAGTCGATGTGTTCTGTACTAGTCGATGTGTACTGTGGGACAACGCAACATGTACTAGTCAATGTGTACTATGGGACAAAGTAACAGATGTACTAGTCGATGTGTACTGTGGGACAACGCAACATGTACTAGTCGATGTGTACTATGGGACAAAGTAACAGATGTACTTGTCGATGTGTACTGTGGGACAACGTATCGGATGTACTAGCCGATGTGTACTGTGGGACAATGTAGCGGATGTACTTGTCGATGTGTACTGTGGGACAACATAACATGTACTTGTCGATGTGTACTGTGGGACAACGTATCGGATGTACTAGCCGATGTGTACTGTGGGACAATGTAGCGGATGTACTTGTCGATGTGTACTGTGGGACAACATAACATGTACTTGTCGATGTGTACTGTGGGACAACGTATCTCATGTACTAGACGATGTGTACTGTGGGACAACGTAGCGGATGTACTTGTCGATGTGTACTGTGGGACAACGTAACATGTACTAGTCGATGTGTACTGTGAGACAACATAACATGTACTTGTCGATGTGTACTTATGGACAACGTAACATCTACTAGTCGATGTGCACTGTGGGACAACGAAACAGATGTACTAATCGATGTCTACTGTGGGACAACGTAACAGATGTACTTGTCGATGTTTACTGTGGGACAACGTAGCGGATGTACTTGTCGATGTGTACTGTGGGACAACGTAGCGGATGTACTTGTCGATGTGTACTGTGGGACAACTTAACATGTACTTCTCGATGTGTACTGTGGGCCAACGTAACAGATGTACTTGTCAATGTGTACTGTACTTGTCGATGTGTACTGTGGAACAACTTAACATGTACTTGTCGATGTGTACTGTGGGCCAACGTAACAGATGTACTTGTCGATGTGTACTGTGGGACAACGTAGCGGATGTACTTGTCGATGTGTACTGTGGGACAACGTAACATGTACTAGTCGATGTGTACTGTGGGACAACGTAACATGTACTAGTCGATGTGTACTGTGGGACAACGTAACATGTACTAGTCGATGTGTACTGTGGGACAACATAACATGTACTAGTCGATGTGTACTTATGGACAACGTAACATGTACTAGTCGATGTGTACTGTGGGACAACGAAACAGATGTACTAATCGATGTCTACTGTGGGACAACGTAACAGATGTACTTGTC